AGAATCCACGTAACCAATACAATCCTGCCCGTTCTTCTCATTCTTCTGAAATACAAAACCAATATCCATGGTACCTTTGATATACCGTAGAATCCACTTCACGGCCTCCCAATGACCCTTCCCGGGGTCGTGCATGTATCTGGGTACCATGCTCACGGCCTGTGATAAATATGGCCTTGTACACACCATCACATACATCAAGCTACCCACAGCATTGGCATATGAAACTTTGGACATGTATTCCCGATCCTCAACTGAAGCAGGTGACATCTTAGCTGATAGCTTAAAGTGGGGAGCTAATGGAGTACTCACCGCCTTGGCATTGCCATCATAACTGAATTTTTTCAGCATCTTCTGTAAGTAACTCCTCTGTGTCAACTTCAACCTCCCCTTCACCCTGTCTCTCTCGATCTCCATACCCAATATCTTCTTTACTTCTTTAAGATCCTTCATCTCAAATTCGGATGACAGCTCTTTTTTCAACTTTCTAATAGCTGAAGTATTCCTGAAAGCTATGAGCATATCGTCAACATATAATAGCAAATAGATATACTCACCATTCTGTAGCTTGTGCAAGTAAACACACGGGTCATATGAGCTCCTCGTGTACCCTCGGCCAATCATAAAGCCGTCGAATCTCTTGTACCATTGTCGCGGAGATTGCTTCAATCCGTAAAGAGACTTCTTCAGCTTGCATACTAATTCTTCCTTTCCTGCAGCTTTGAACCCCATAAGTTGTGTCATGTAGATCTCCTCTTCTAAATCTCCATGTAGAAAGGTTGTTTTCACATCCATCTGGACCAAATCCAAATCCAGCTGTGCTACCAATGCCAATAAAATACGAATCGACGAATGCTTCACAACAGGTGAAAATACCTCGTTGTAATCAACACCCTCTAGCTGTGCATATCCCTTGGCAACCAATCTGGCTTTGAATCTAATTTCCCCAATAGAAGATCTCTCTTTCTTTGCATACACCCACTTGCATCCAATAGCCTTCTTATCTTTCGGTAGCTTTGTAAGTTCCCAAGTGTCGTTCTTATGAAGAGACTGTATCTCTTCCTCCATAGCTTCCCTCCACCTAATCGAATCAGAGCTTGACTCTTCTTCCTTGAATATAGAAGGAACCAAATCATCAACGACTTCTGCTGATAAAGCATATGCAACCATGACATCGTCATATCTAGCTGGCCGACGAATGTTTCTTCTTGGTCTATTAGCTGCAATGGACTCTTGAACATGACCCTGTTCCTGAGTTCCAACATCCACTGTATCCTCTAAATGCCCGGTTGTCATCTCATTTCCTCCCAGTGTCACCTCTATAGGAGCCTCAATGGATACAATGCTATCTGGAGTTGGTGGAGTCACATCATCCTCCACCTTCTGCGATATCCCAACTGTCTGGTCTTCCTCCACCTGCTGAGGAACTTGAGGCTTCATCATGTACGCCTTGTCAAATGTGACATCCCTGCTAATAACTATCTTCTTGTCCTGTGGATCCCATAACTTGAAGCATTTAACTCCATCTTTAAATCCCACAAAGACTGCTTTCCTCGCCCTCGGATTTAATTTATCATCACTGACATGGTAATAAGCTGGACACCCAAATATCCGAAGTGACTCATAGTCACTAGCTACCGAACCAGACCAACGCTCCAACGGAGTCTTCCCCTGTATCGCAGTGCACGGTAACCTATTCACGAGATGGCTCGCATAAACCAACGCTTCGGCCCAAAAGGATCTTGACAATCCACTCTGCGTCATCATACATCGCACTTTCTCCAGCAAGGTACAATTTAATCTCTCAGCTACCCCGTTCTGTTGCGGTGTCTCACGTACTGTGAAGTGTCGTCTAATGCCGTGATCCCAACAAAACTACAGAAACGGATCACTCTTATACTCTCCACCGTTATCTGAACGTAGGGTCTTCACCTTTCTACTTGTCTGCAGCTTCACTTTCTTTTTCCACTCCACAAAAATATCCAGGACCTGATGTTTATGCTTCATCGGGTATACCCAATTTCTTCTGGAATAGTCATCAATGAAAGTGACAAAATAGTTGGCCCCACCAAGTGATGTGTGCTTGGAAGGGCCCCAAACGTCTGTGTGAATGTAGTCCAAAATACCTTGGGTATTGTGAATAGCGGTGCCGAATTTCACTCTTGTCTTCTTCCCAAGTATGCAATGTTCACACAGCTCCATCTTGCATGTCTTCGCACCCTTCAATAGCCTCTGCTTCGCCAATACCTGCAGGAACTTATCACCAGTGTGTCCCAATCTCATATGCCATAAACTGGTAGTATCTTCCTCTGTGGTAATAGAAGCTGTCAGACCCCCTGTTACTGTCTTGCCCTTCAAGTAGTAAATGTTGTTTTCCCTGACACCTCGCATCACCACCATGGACCCTTTTGTGACCTTCAGAGTCGCATTCTCCAAGATCACCTTATAGCCAGCTGCCTCCAAAGTTCCAAGCGAAATGATATTCTTCGTCAATTGAGGAACGAATCTCACTTCCTTCAGCTCCCGAGTTACCCCATCACACATCCGGATCCGTACTGTACCAATACCACCAATAGGACATACGTGATCATTACCCATGAGCATGATATCCCCTTTTTCCAACTCTTCAAAGCTGGAGAACCAATCTCTCCTATGACAAATATGGTATGTAGCACCAGAATCCATCAGCCACTCCGTAGAGTCAGCGTAACAAACTGATGGTAATGCAGAGCAAGAATAGCCTGAAGAATCTGTATCTGAATTGTCATCACTAGCCTTGACAACATTCACTTCTGAAGCTTGTACAGCTTTTCCTTTATTCTTCCCGGCTTTATCTTTCAACTTTGGGCAGTCGTTCTTCCAATGTCCTTCTTCTTTGCAAAAGCGACATTGATTCCTACCAATATTTCTATGGCCACATCTTGACTTCGATCTTGAGCGAGAACCTGGACGACGGTTTGGACCACGGCCTCGAACTGCTAATGCATCTCCCGATGCCTTCTCGGAGGGTTCGTCATCACTCTTCCTCAACTCATAATTCACCAAAGCTGAGGTCACCTCCTTGTATCTAACCGTAGTTCTTCCATTTATCATAGTGAGAACAAACGTTCCAAAATCATCTTCCGGCAACGAACACAATAATAGCATCGCCTTGTCTTCATCCTCAACCATGATATCTACATTGGCCATATCCGAAATTAGCTTCGTGAAGTTGTTAACATGCTCCCGAATGGAAACTCCCCTCTTCATCTTGAATTGGTAAAATCTCTTCTTCAAGTGAAGCCGATTCTCAATGCTCTTTGTAAGATACTTCTCATTGAGTGTTTCCCACAACCGTTTTGCCGAAGTCTCGTTCATTACGTCATAAATAAGATCCGACGTTAAGCATGACCGAATAACTCCACAAGCCCTACTATTTATTTTCTTCCAAACCTTGTCCTCCATATCAGCGGGTTTCTCTTGTAACTCAAGAGTCTCCTCTAAATTTTGTGCATCCAAGGCGTCCATCACTTGACACCTCCACAAACCAAAATTGATCTTGCCGTCGAACTTTGGAACATCAATCTTTGTATTATTGATGCTCAGACTCTGTATCGCCTTCGAAAGAGACGATCCCGATGTGCTTGTTTCTCCCATGTTGTCGATCTAATCTTCAAATAGGAATCCTTCAGCGAATCCTTCAAACAAGCTCCCAAGTCTAACCCGGAGCTCTGATACCACTTGTTGTGCACAGCGGAAATTTCGGCAGCACCTCCGGTGCGTAAGGTGCACAACAAGAGATTAGATCACAATGAAATTCTCGTTTCTCAAAGGAAACAAGAACAAAAAACCAGATATCTCATCAAAGTGAGATATCAGCTCTTCCTCTCGTCAGCTCTAGGACTGCGCGTCGAGGGAACCTATAAGCTATTACAGATCACGGCAAGAACATAAATTTTACGTGGTTCGGCAAATAACCTACGTCCACGGGGCAAGGAGGGGGGAGATCTACTATTAGAGGGTGAGATACAACTAGGGTTTACAATCACTCAATCTAAACCCTCTCAAAACAAACTCTCAAATCCCTCTTAATCTCTCTCTACAAAGGGACAAAAAACAACTGCAGCTGCCAAGCAAAATCCTTGCACTGCTCCTTCGCACACGAATCAGCCCCACAAAATTCCGTGCTCCAAGACAAATTTCCTGCAGCCGCAATTCTTCTCCCACGCTCTCAATTGCACACCTAGGGCATAAATTATATGGCTATATATAGCCTAATAAATTCGTGGGCTTCAATCGGGTGGGCTTCAGCTTCATTCACGTGGTGGCCCCCCTCCACTTTCACACATGCCAATTTTAAGACGAAATTTGCTAGAAAAGCTTTCAAAGACGCACTATGGCAGGCTTGTAGGGCAGCAGCTAGAGTTGAATATGACTCTGCAATGAAAAATATGCAAGGCATGGATGAAGGAGCGCATACGCATGCCTTGTGGTTGAGGATCCCTCTCACTAGCGTAGACATGCATTCAACACAAGTACGAAGTCTGATTGCCTCCTGAATGACGTGTGAATCATTCATTAAGATGATTCTTGAAGCTAGAGACAAGCCAATGTTGATATTCATAGAGTATATTAGGAGGATGCTCATGAAGAGAATCATAACCAAATAACAAAGCTTATGTAAGATGGAAGGGATTCTTGCGCCGAGGGCTCACCAAAAAATTGAGCAGCTGAAGAAAGATGTGAGACATTACAGAGTTAGACCTAGAGGTGATAACAAGTTTGAAGTTGATTATAATAATGATACTAACATAATTCAGTTGAATGAAAGATCTTGTGGTGCTACAAATGGCAATTAATTGGAATTCCTTGCATTCATGGTATTGCATCTTGGGTCAAGCATAATTTGCCTATTGAAGCTTATGTCCATGAGATCTGCACAAAGGAGTCGTACATGTTGGCATATGGGATGAATATAACACCTCTTCCTGACATGAAATAATGGCCTAATACAGAGAGAGAGAGAGAGAGAGAGAGAGAGAGAGAGAGAGAGAGAGAGAGAGAGGAGAGCAAGTTGTGACAACATTGGGAGTGAAAAGGGAAAAAAATACAAAATAAATGCAAGATATGTAGAAACTTATGGCATAACAAGAAAACTTGCAAAAATCCACCATTACCTAGAGCTTCACCAAGTAAAGAGGGTAGACTAAAGAAAAGTTCTGCAACTCCAAATGCTGAACCAGAATCAAGTGCAAGGACATCCAGAGGTGCAAAAAGGGGAAGAAAACCGGTAAGCATTTGAAATTTTGAGATTTGATTTTGCTCTGAAGTGTAAAAATTTGGTCTATGTTCATCATTTTTTTTTATGATGCAACAGGGGACCACAAATATGAGCCCTCCATGCTCTAATGCCGGACAAACTGCCAATACCCTTCATATGAGTGGTTAGGTGAGAAATATTGCACATCTAACATATTGAATTTGTCCATAAATCCCTCTCTTATTCTCTCTTATTCATTAGCTATTATTACAGGGACAAACAACACAACAAACATCAACCTCTAATGTTGTGTGTGGCGGAAGCTTTCTAGGGCAACACAAACAATAACTCGAACTAAACCACAAACAATATGCAAACCACAACCACAGCAAAAACAAACAATTTACGTGGTTCGGCAAGTTTCCTACGTCCACGGGGCAAGGAGGGGGGGGGGGGGGGTTTTAGAAATCAAGAGAATACAAATAGAGTTACAAATCTCACCAGCCCAAAACATCGACGGTCGACCGCGCAAGTCTAGCGGTCAACCGAATCTCAGTCCCGAGAGTAAAAAACATTACAGTCATCCGCGGTCGACCGCCACCAACTCCAATCCCAGTAAGCTTCGTGCACGTTGGCGGTCGACCGTTGCGGTCGACCGCTGATCTGTCTGGCTGATCCTTTGCTGTTTCCTGTAATTCTTCAATTCTCCACATCGGTGAATGTTTCCACCAAAACTGAGCCGACACCAAATCATCCAATAGTTCCTCAACAAGTCCAGGAACAATACTCGAGCTGAAACGCGATCTCCCCCCATCTGAATGAACTGATCAAACCGGCTGCATCTGAAAGACTGCCTACGTATCCTCTTGCCCAAGGAATCAAGCCGAAAGTAGTTCACCCAAATGGCCTCTAAAGGCCTCAGCACTGAAGGATGTTCAAAAGCTTCAAACAATGACCAAATTTCACACCTGAAACAACTTTGGTCAACATATCTGCAGGGTTGTCATTTGTGTGGACCTTCTCCAATATGACATCTCCATCATCCAAGACGTCCCGAACAAAGTGAAATCTGACGTCGATGTGCTTCGTGCGCGCATGATAAACCTGGTTCTTCGCCAAATAGATAGCCGACATACTATCACAATATATCCGAATAGTCTCCTGAGCAATCCCCAAGTCCTCCAATAATCCACGCAACCATAAAGCCTCCTTAATAGCTTCAGTAACTGCCATATACTCTGCCTCTGTAGTAGAGAGAGCCACTGTGGACTGAAGCGTGCAACGCCAACATACAGGTGCACCTGCCAATGTAAAAGCATAACCTGACGTAGACCGGCGTTTGTCAAGATCTCCAGCATAATCTGAATCCACATATCCAATACAATCCTGCCCATCCTTCTCATCCTTCTGAAATACTAAACCAATATCCACGGTGCCTCGAACGTACCGTAGAATCCACTTCACGGCCTCCCAATGACCCTTCCCGGGGTCGTGCATATATCTCGATACCATGCTCACGGCCTATGATAAATCTGGCCTCGTACACACCATCGCATACATCAAGCTACCTACTGCACTGGCATATGGAACCTTCGACATATAATCTCTGTCCTCAACTGAAATAGGTGACATCAACGTTGAAAGCTTGAAGTGGGGAGCCAATGATGTGCTAACTGCTTTTGCATTGCCATCAAAGCTGAATTTCTTCAACATCTTCTGCAAGTAGCTCTTCTGTGTAAGCTTCAAACTCCCTTTCACTCTGTCTCTCTCGATCTCCATACCCAATATCTTCTTTGCCTCTCCAAGATCCTTCATCTCAAACTCGGATGATAACTCCTCTTTCAGCTTTCGAATAGCCGAAGAATTCCTGGAAGCAATAAGCATATCATCAACATATAAAAGCAAATATATGAGCTCACCATCCTGTAGCTTGTGCATATAAACACATGGGTCATATGGGCTCCTCGTGTACCCTCGGCCAATCATAAAGCCGTCGAATCTCTTATACCACTGTCTTGGTGACTGCTTCAAACCATAAAGAGACTTCTTCAACTTACAAACCAAATCTTCCTTTCCTGCAGCTTTGAAACCCTAGGGTTGTGTCATGTAGATCTCCTCATCTAAATCACCATATAGAAAGGCTGTCTTCACATCCATTTGGACCAAATCCAAATCCAACTGTGCCACCAATGCCAATAAAATCCGAATCGACGAATGCTTCACAACGGGTGAAAATACCTCGTTGTAATCAATGCCCTCAAGCTGTGCATATCCCTTGGCAACCAATCTGGCTTTGAACCTTATGTCCCCAATAGAAGATCCCTCCTTCTTCGCATATACCCACTTGCAACCTATAGCCTTCTTACCCTTAGGTAGATGTGTAAGTGCCCAAGTGTCGTTCTTCTGAAGAGACTTCATCTCCTCCTCCATAGCTTCCCTCTACCTGATCGAATCGGGGCTAGACTCTGCCTCCCTGAATGTGGCTGGAATCATATCATCAACGACCTCCACTGATAATGCATATGCGACCATGACATCATTATACCTAGCTGGCCGACGAATCTCTCTCCTCGGTCTATCTGCTGCAATGGTCCTCTGAACATGACACTGTTCCTGAGTCCCATGATCCACTGTATCCTGTATCTGCCCGGCTGTCATCTCATCTCCTCCCAGTGTTACCTCTGTAGGAGCCTCGATGGATACAATGCTCTCTGGAGTGGGTGAAGTCACATCATCCTCCACCTGCTGCGATATCTCTCCTGTCTGGTCTCCCTCCACCTGCTGAGGGGCTCGAGGCCTCATCATGTATGCCTCGTCAAATGTGACATCTCTTCTAATAACTATCTTCTTGTCCTGTGGATCCCATAACTTGAAGCCTTTGACTCCATCTCTAAATCCCACAAAGACTGATTTCCTCGCTCTCGGATTTAATTTACCATCACTGATATGATAATAAGCTGGACACCCGAATATCCGAAACGACTCATAGTCACTAGCCACCGAACCAAACCAACGCTCCAAAGGAGTCTTTCCGTCTATCGCAGTGCACGGCAACCTGTTCATGAGATGGCTCGCATAAACTAACGCCTCGGTCCAAAAGGATCTAGGCAATCCACTCTGCGTCATCATACACCGTACCTTCTCCAGCAAGGTACGGTTCAATCTCTCAGCCACCCTGTTCTGTTACGGTGTCTCTCAAACTGTGAAGTGTCTTCTAATGCCGTGATCTCGGCAAAACTACCAAAACGGATCACTCTTGTACTCTCCATAATTATCTGAACATAGAGTCTTCACCTTTCTACCTGTCTGCAGCTCCAATTTCTTCTTTCATTCCACAAAAATATCCAGGACCTGATGTTTATGCTTCATCGGGTATACCCAATTCCTCCTGGAATAGTCATCAATGAAAGTAACAAAATAGTTGGCCCTGTAGGCGTCAAAAAATGCTGAAAGATATCCAAATACAGCTCAAGAGGAAATCATCCAAAAAGGCAGAAGAACACAAGTTTGGGATGTCTCGCATGCGAGACAGTCTTTACTGTCTCGCCAGGCGAGACAGCATTCTCTGTCTCGCAGGCGAGACAGCATTCTCTGTCTCGCCCGCGAGACAGCATTCTCTGTCTCGCCCATGAGACAGTTTTCAAAGAAGTTAGAAACCACTTTATAACCGCCGACACGTGGCCACCAACTGTTCAAGAACGTGGGGAACGTCGTGGGCGAGAATCACGTTGATAACTGCCAGAATAACGGAGTTTAAAACGTGGGAACCCTCCTAAGGCCATTTTTCCAGGGGGCTGATCATTGTGAGTACTTCAGAGCAATCCAGAGCAATCCAGAGCAGAGAGAGAGCAGAGGTGCTGATCTTACGGCCAATCCTTGAAATTGAGCTTTGACTTGATTTCAAGAAGAACGACTATCTTACATCGATAAGATATCGTTTCAATTTCTCACTTCGATAAACGAAGTCAGAATCATAAACCCCTCACGGTTCAATCAGAATCTGTGATTTGGTGGTCCACGAGTCAAAGCGCTCCCGGCACAGGCAAAGATCCCACGAAAGCAGTGATCCGAACAACGATCCTGCGTTTATTTTCTCAAGAGTTGTAATTTTCTTTTTGTTGTGTAAAAGAGTCTTATAAAAAGGCTGTTTTCTTTGAATTTATTGTAATCGACCGAAGATATAATGAATTCCACAACGAAACCAACTTTTGACGCAAACAAGCTGGCGACCACAGTGGGAGCCAACGGTCTCGCTGCCGAGATCGTCGTGTCGCAGCCAATTATCAAGATCCTGGTTGAATCAACGGTCGAGTACGAGTTCGACCAAGCAAAGTTTGAGGAGTATTTGTCGTCCTCATCTGTAAAGTCTTCCTCGCCTCGCAAATGCAGGAAGATTTCATCTTTGTTGAAGTCATCAAATGCGACGAATGAAGACTCTCGCTTGATTGTTGCTGAGGATTTCACTCGCAACACCTATGCTCACAGTGGCTCTTATCTAGTTAAAGAGTCATCGAATCAAAGCCCGCCGGCATTGACGAAAAGAGCTCGTCAGAGACAACGCCAACGCCGCGCTCGCCAAATGGCTAAGGCCTTGGAACAAACCGACGGGGTTCGTTACCACGCGGACCTAGAGTCGAGGAGACATCGAGTGGTTCAGTTGTCTCAACAACCAATCACTCGTATCTCTGCTAAAACAACGACGGATGAATGGACTATTGTCAAAAAGACTCGTTCGACCCTCAAAGAACGTATACAAAAACGTCGTGCAAAAGCTGCTAATGCCCATGCTCTCTCACAACAAAGACGAGAAAAGAGAAAGGAAATGGTGACCAAAGAATCACCAAAACTTCGTCAAGTTTGGATTCCAAAGTCTGGACTTATGCAAAATCAGCATTCGGAGCCCGTTAAGACCCCATACCCGCAAATGGGTGGTTTCAGACGTGCGACTCCCAACATAACCTTGGATCGCTCAAAGACAAAAATAAATTGTCCTGAGAATGCCAACAAGGTTTTATACCCCCAGAAGAAGACGCATTCACCAAATGATATCGTCATACCTGGGAGATCATACCAACAGACGATACGATTTTTTGGCAATCATACCGATGAATCGTATTATCAAGTTGGGGTTGTGAATAATTTTCGAAAGAGAGTTATTCGAGAGATAAACTCTCGTTGTTCCTGTGCACGACTCGTCAAAACAGCATTATCAGAATGTGACTGTTTCAAACGAGAAGTCATCCCACGAAAAGTCTCTGTATTATCGAAACCTAAGCCGAGACATTTCCGCAAAAGAAGAGCAGCT